CACGAGTACCTGAAAATATTTTCTTTTCCGTTGAATTACATTTATTCGTTCCAATGTCAAAGCTACATGCTTATGAACAATACAGAATAAATGTATGACGTGAATCTCAGGAATTATACGCCGTCAGGTATTATATAGCGGCGCTAAGCATCGTTTCCTGGAAGTTCATTCGAAGCTTTGCATGGACATGCTGTATGGAAGGAGGCCTGAATCGATGGCAGTCTCTGCTGTTGGCCACGTGGCCGTTGACTACATTGGGTTGAGCGGACAGTTGTCTGGAGACAGATCAGCACACGTTGAATGCCACTCCTCCTAAGCGACTGCGTAATTTCGACAAGACGACCGACGACACTTGGCTTCCATTGAAACAATTACTAGACAATTTGGTCGTATTACCAGTATTTAAAGGTCATTTTATGGAAGGACAATTTATAGGTAGTCACGCGTCTGCCACCGTGTCACAGCAGAAGTCCGAGCGCCAGTGCATTTAAACATTTTTTTTTGTTTATTTTTCAGCTAGTACGTGTAACGGAGATGCTTTAAAAGTACGCCGTAACGCTTTGACAAATAGGAAACCTGAAAGCGTAAGATGTTTGTTTTTTTTTTTGAGACAAAAACTAAGTGACAAGTGGGAAAAGCGATTACGCTGCTTTACGTGTATAGTGGGTAGCCTCTCGGAATCGCAACAATGTCTACAGAGCATTGGACAAACTAGACACAAATACGCAAAGACCCTTATCACGCCGTCTATAACATTCTCGAATAGTAATTTCTAAAAACGAAGTTGAACCCTAACTTGCGTAAATTATTCCCCCATGCATTTCGGTTGGTAACACAGAGGTGCGGATTTTTGGTAGTCTACGTAAATCTCCACCCGGTGTGGTTACCTCGGATTATGACTGCCGAAATTGCGCACGCGACAAGTGGAAAACCTGGCACCCCCTGTCGGTATAATTTGTGATCTTCAAATAGCGAACTGCGAGCGTCAACGACAACGACGATAGAGGGGACCACTGCATGCGCGAACTCGCGACGTTAGTCGATGCGCGGCTTGGAGAACTTGACGTTGTCAATGTATTTTATCGTTTCTTGTTTTTATTGTACACCTTTTTCGACCCACTTTTGCGTTCGGAACGTGTCGATTGGGTTATATCAATACGTCACGCTAGCGCTGCTACTCTGTCCATTGGTGTGCCGTTTGTTTTATTGTTTATTCTTCTATCTCTCAATAGTTTGTCGTTTGTCTCGAACTGCACAGAACTCAGCGAAATGCAACCGGTGCTCTATAGGATACGAAAGCTGTATTTTGAGTTGGATACGGATAGGCTGGGCAGACCACGACCCATGATGTTAACAACAACAACAGCCGCAATAATAACAAGGAACAATGTTTTGTTTAATGCCACTCGACGGGATAGCTTTCTCTCGATTCCTTCAGCCGCTCATGAGTGCGGTCCCTTTTTGCCACCATTTCGTCGGCTCAGCGGCACTGCCGTCATCCGAGCTTGCGTGTTCGTAACGCGCTGAAGTTCTACGGAGTTCCAGGGACTGAGTTATTATTCATGCGCCGCTGTTCCATTCAGCCGCCGTTCATATTCGGCCGAAAATTTCAATTGGTTATTATACGAGATACAGGGGACCAACTGAAGACGGAATGAGCACGCTGCAATCTATCTATATATGCGAGTATATACTGATATATTAATGTCAATTCTCTGCCGTCAGCTAGATTGATCTCCGCAACGGGAGGTCTTTACGTGGGCAAGTGGGTGGACGCGCGATTCATTCTCAGTTACTTAAAAAAGGTCACGAGCAAACAGGCTGTCGCACAGCCATTCAAGTCCTAGTCTCTACTAAAGGCGATGTGCCTGATGTTTGCGCCGGTCGATGCGAGGAACGAGACGGTAATCACGAAACTACAAAGCGGGAGATTGAGCTAAAAGGTTCATCGTGCAATCGCAGATAAAGCAGGAAAAGAGTATTGGGAAGTAACGAAGACAAATCAGATCGTACGAAAATTCTGCCGTACGGGTCGTCTAAATGTAATGGCGATGTGCCTAATCAGAAAAAAAGGGTTTGAGAAAAACAATAGCGGCGGATAAATATTCGGAGCAGAGCACCTGTGGTCCCGCCGAAATCAAACGGACGTAAACGCGCTGTGCAAGAGCCGTCGTAGCATTAGACGTTGTGTGGATTATAAGAGAATCCGGAAAGTAAAAGTTAGTAAATGAAAATATGACAAAACCTAACTTACTCAAGGGTTACAAACAGTTTTCATTGAATTTCTGCAGGAGCATGAGCCCAGTGCGTATTGATAAGAATCAGCCAAATTTGATCCAAGAAAATTTACCATACTTAGCAAAGATAAAAGTTGACGTTTCTCGTAATTCAGGGCCATTTTCATTTGCCGGTGAAGTTCTGATTTGCAGAGACAATATTAAACCATGCTATATATTAGATACTATGCCGCCTTCATCAGGCAGATGGGCAATGATACATATGTTTTGACGAGTATTTGGCAAATAGTAATATAAACCGAATTTTCGTTGGAAATGTTTAGTTATTATCGGTCATATGCTTAATGTACGAAGCGTTACATCACTAGTAATGGGGCATTTTCTATAGTACTTATTTGCAATGACTAAAGAGTTTCTTCTCAAACAAGTCTAACCGTTTTACGTCTGATTACGTGTCTATTCTTAAGGATTAATGCGTTTCCAGCCGCAGCTCGTTCACTGATTAACGAGTATGAGATCCACATGTAATAGAAGCCGTTATGGCATGAACTGTTTGTTTGGTCCCTTCGTGGAAAAAAAAAACAGAAACAGTTCACTAGTGCAAACAGATGATCACGCATTTCTAGCGTATTGCAGGTGTATACCTGTCAAAATTTCTTCTAAATTATCTCTCAAAGCTAAAAATCAGTATCAAGTTAACCAAAAAGCTGTTACTAAAAGGTGATCGTAAATAAACTTACATGCTTCTCAGAGCCGTATGCCATAGATAAACCTATTAGCTACCGTGTTAGCTCACCTGTTGATTTATAACGCACCTTATACTGCCCGCAAAATCGCCTTTCCCGCTGTCTGTAAACTCCCAACCTTAACTTCTGCCGCTGTCGACACCGACCATCTCTTCTACGGTAAGAAATGGAGAAGTGGATTTTAGAGTGATCACCTTGAAAGGATCAGCTTCAGGCCGCTGTTGCTGTTTCTGCTCAGCACCTTCAAGCAACGTCCAGTTCAAGAGGGCAGTTAGGGCAGACCCCCTACCGAAACGAGATGTTCTACCACCATCACCAGACCGGCTGACCCGGTCGCTCGTTCGCGGCAAAAACAATTTTTCCAGTTTCTAAAATTTGTCAAAATTTTCCGCCTTTCCGAACAGATAGTTCTATTTATAAAATAATAATATTTAATGCATTTTTTTTCTTCCCACTATGGCGCGCTGTGGCCATCCATCGACAGCCCTGAATAGCGAAGCGGTCCTTGTGTTTGTGTAGCGTATGGAAAAGATTCGTCTCGCTCAATTTTCTGTTTTGTCTTTTTAGTTTTGAAGGGAGAAAACGCGCGCGGAACAACGATTCGATACGACAGACGGAAAATAGATGGTGTTTATTGATACAATCACACCTCTTCTTTCACCGTTACGCGCTGCAGTCGCTGTGGTGGTGTTGTAGCCCCCCTAACACACACGCACGCACGCACGCATGCACGCACACATACATACGCACTACCTGGGACTGGCATCCAGTGAGGAAGGGAAGCTACAGAGGCTTCATCGGGTATGTCACACAACTTCACCAGAAACAAGGCGATCGCTCCGGGTCAACTGAATGATATATGGGCGTAGCGGGGACGGGCGATGCACGTAAATGACAATTGGGGTGCTCAGGTTTTTGAAGCAGTGAGGATTAGAAGAGCTGCTCCTGATCGAATCGCCTTGTTGGCAGCTTGATGTTACCGATTCGTCATGTTTTAGGTACTCACCAGTACTTCATGCAGCAGTGAGAACTGCACCAATAAGTAAGGTCTGATCAGTTACGTTCGTCAATTGCTGACTTTATTGGTTCTGATGTTACGTCAGGATGTATTCTGGGTCTTGCAAGCTGCACTCTTACGAATGTAAAATTTTATATAAGAAAAGTATCTATATGTAGATTTCTATTAGAAAAAACATATATAATATTTTTGTGAAAATTCTACTAGTACAAAAAGGTACTGGTAAACTTTGCTTAGGCCTGTAAAACTGCCTGCACGTCTTATTCTATGTAATTTTTTCCATAACACGAAAAGAGAATATATCTATAATATATCGATTATTTATAAAACTTCAAACGTTTACAGGTTTACACCTTATCTAGTTTATCTAAAACTTGTTTCAATAGATCAACCGAACACTTGTCGTAGCAAGCGTATATCTACAAGTAGGACAAAAATGCTGTCACTGCTTCATCGATTAGAAGTAAGGCCCTCTCGTGGACATAGGTTCGTATTAGGACCTCACTGAAATTCAATGCAATGTTATTTTTATGTCCGCTTTAGTTTCGGATATAGTTCTTCTACTCGCAAAATGTTTACTGCATAAACGATATCTCGCCAGCGCCATAATGCTGAGCCTATCGTGTTGTTAGTCGTAAATGTTAATCGAAACAAACGGACACCGGGAAACGGAACTTCCATTTTAGTATGTTAGACCTGTATTCTGTTCTGTTATATATATATATATGCGTCCATAAAAATAATATAGCTAGATGTATAGTTAGTTTATCGCCATTGTATTTGAACGATGTTAAAACAGCGACTTTCATACTGTTACTGTCAATTTATATTTTTATGTTACATTTTAATAAACGCTTGATTCGATAATATGCTCATGGACAGTCTGGACTAAAAAATCTATAACGTCGCGCTGTTTTACGCATAAAAACGCAACGTATTCGATAGCCAGATTTACGTTTCGACGATCGGCTCTCTTTCAGAAGCAGTACCCAGTATTTTCGACATTGGCGACAGCGGGTTCTCGTCCGATCTGTTGATCTGCCTGTCGGAACCGAACGAACGCAAAGTTGAAAAACTTTTGTTCAGAAGCAGATCTTTTCCAACGCAGAGGATTCGCTCGACCGAAAAGATGATTGAAACGATCTAGCAGGAACTTACGAACGGCTGAACACGTTCCGAAAACCAACAATCGGATCAGACAATCAACACTTCGAATAGTAAGTTAAATATTTAAGAGTTTACTAATACGCCAACTACTTATACGTACGCAGAGAGCTGATTGGTGTCTTATTCAGTTCTGAATAACCTGGCATTCGATCAGTAAAGTCTGATTTTTCATACCAGTCGTGTTCCTGTTCCAGTGGAAGTAAGCAGTATCTGTTTATAGACTTGAAACGTTTCTATCTAGAATGGAGATCTGATATTTGAGTAAATTTTTAGTAATTTAGCTAGTAGATTAAGCGTTCGGCTCTCCGAAACAGCTGATGCCATAGCGATAGCTAACCAATAGTCCTGACCTAGTAAAGGTTGCCTTGGTAGTTAGGCCTGCAAATAATAGCGAAGACCCAAGTTATGTTTATTAGCGTAATCAGGTAGAATAATGACCTAAAAAGCCAGACTGCAGATCGAGGCAGAGAAGTTACCTAAGTCCAGCCTTCAGAGGGAAGGCCCCCGTTCTGACTAACAAGTGATAAAAAGAAATTTTATAAGATGTCGACTGCGCCCAACACCGAATGTTTTACGTACAGCCGATCCGCTTTATCACAACCTTTTTTCAAATAAAAATTAATACGGAAGTAGTTGCGCATGCAGTGAGTGGCAGCGTACTGACGCATATGCCCCATCATACCTTTTGAGATCCCAACCTGAAACGGTGCTACAATCCATTGGCAAGTCGTTTAGATGAAAAACAATGGAAAATCCTATTTGCCAGAAGTGAAACTATCGGCAATTTATCCAAACCCTATCGAAACAATTTGCAATGATCTTGTTTATAATATCAGTCTAGATAATTGGCAGAAAATGATATATGCGGACGAAATGCCACCAGGTTTGAAGCGTCATGTGTGAACATTTTCCATAGACATAAAGCAGAAACACTTTGTACGAAAATTATTTGTTCGTAAAATGTTACATTGGATACAATGCTAATTAAACGGGTGCCGAAATACCCAAGCAGAACGAATAGCAACTCATACGTCTTATGAGAGATAACAACTCTCAAAAAAAAAATACCGCGACACAAGTTCAATCCCCAGTTGACGAGATCGGTCCCGGATCCCGTCGATGTGAAGATAAACAATGTTAATCGTTCGCTTGCGTCTCTGATCGACTTTGCTGACGTGTTTTTCTGGATTAACTTCTCAATTGAACGATCATCGTGAACTCAGTGATAATCGTTATCGTCATGATAATGTTTTTCATGTCTTGCGTCTGCTACCTAAGCCGTTAGGCATTACTTCGGACGGCCGATTGTTTCCAGCGGAAAAAAACGGGATGTGTTTACGTCTGGATTCAGAACGCATGCTAAGCATAGCATTATCCGATGCTTAGGATACGTTTTATCACGGGGACGCACTTATGACGCTGAACTGTTTACAGCAGTCGTCTCATCAACGCGAGCTCAGAACCGATAATCAGAACTGACTGCCGCACCGATAATTATTCTTTAATTTAAAAAGAACGCCTTTTATCGAGTGACTTCAACGCGTACGTATAGTAGTTCTCAGTATAAGAAATATAAGAGGCGCAACGACGTTTGATAGAGGAGATTATTTGGAAAAGAAAAAAGAAGAAGAAGAAGAAATTAATTTGTCAGGCTCGGCACTGAATGGAGAAAAGCTTATGTTCATTTGTTGTCATACAACAATCGTTCTATGACAATGAACGTGTAAAAAAAAAGAGCAATAATAGGCGTACGTGTAGTGGAAACGGGTTCGAGTTGTTAAAGCCTTTCCTAGTTATCTATATGGCATAAGGTGCCTGTAATCGGTTTATTCTTCGTAGCTGCAGAAAACCTAGTTCAAATAGATGTCTTTGTTAAAAGGAATGATAGAATTCGTTCGAGGTCGTTGTTCTGCAAATAGCGAGCCTAGCAATCAGAGCAAAGCTAAATTGATTAATATACTAACGGAATACTATCGGCAGAGAGAAAACATGGCGGGCTGCCGTGTCAAGTATTCCCTAATTATAGTTTGAACGCCTCAGCCTAATTAATACGCATCCCTTTGAGGCTTTTGGCATAGCAGTCAGAAGTAATGAAATAACGCCGCTGACCCAACCGTCGGCTGAAGGTTCCGATGAGAATATCATCTGATTATTATTGATCGACATTAGCTGTCAGAATATGTCTGAACAGCTGGTATGTTTCCTTCTTTCATTTAAATCCCAGAAAACAGATGTTCTCTGTCTAGCTATGCTGGCTATACGACCCAAGCGTGCAGCGTCTAGCTCATCATAGTAAGTTCATTGCATGTGGAATATATGCAGAAAAGCATAATTTGCCCTTTCGAGGTCAGTATTATATAGTTTCCACAATGGTGGCACTTTTGCCCAGCAACAAATTTTCGTTGTGTTGTTGTTTCATTGTTCCTTTTTTCATTCACTTCTCTAATAGCATTTATTTAGAGAAGAAAAAAACAATATCCATCTTATAGTATTGTAGGAAATGTTCACGCTTAGATCTATCCGTAAACGGATATTGCCCAACGGTTAATACGATTTGTTTTTCGCGTGGTACCCTGCTAATTTTTATCGTTCTTCGACCATCTCCAATAGCTTATTAGTAGACAAAAAGGCAGCCGTCAATTGAATAGGTCCTCTTCACCCGGCATCGCTTTGCGCTTCGGAGAAAAAGTTTACAGAACACAATAGAATACGTCGTTGAATGTTTCACCCCCCAAATAAAAACTATCTAGATCTATACGTGTTGGCGTATATATCATGTTTGTGTGTGTGTGTGTGAGCGTACACACTCATCCAGCAACGCGTTTCATTAAACGTCGGGGTTTACGGCAAACTGACGCCCGCTAGGTGGAGCTATTACGGCGGTCTATTAACGCGTTCTATAGCATTGTCTGTGTTAGGCTTCGTTCAAAAGAGAAATGGCGGATTGATCACACCTGAAAATGAGTCTATTCTGGGCGCGGTGCGTGACCCGGCGTGATCCGAAGGCACGCAGGCGACGCAAGGTTTCATTTCGACTTCGCTACAGTGGCTGAGAAAGACAGAAAGCACAGATGCGTCCTGATTGCACCCACTCGTAGCAAAGGTGGCTCGACGTGCTATGAATCATATGCTACAATCGTGCTACGTGCTACAATCGAAGCGTCGTATTTACTGTTATTTCGGTTACACTGGGTTCAATAAGCGTACGAACTTCTTAAAGTTGTTATTAGGTTTACTTTTGAACAATTTTTGCAGTTTGGTCTATGCACGGAACTTCGAGGACAGCGCCACATATATATATATATATATATATATATATATATATTGGTGTGTCAAGCAATGAAAAGTGTATAGATCTCTGTTCTATCATTTTTCACTTATCTTATTAAGCTGATAAGGAACGTAATACATACTGAAAGTACCTATTAGGCATAAATGTATATTTAGTAATCCTTCATTCCAATCAAAGAATTAAATATAGCATAATATTATATACATAAAATAATCAGAGAAAAAAAATTGGACTCAAATAGAACGATCATTGTCATTCGACGATTAAGCAGACCCGTATTCAGATCAGGGCCACTGCAGGCTCCTCGTCGAATCTCCTACCTGTTGGGCCCGGAATGACGGTATCTTGCGCTCTCAATTGCGCTACTACTGTTGTGCATCCAGTTGAAACTGCTAAAACGACTCTATGGTAAGCCTCACTATTGTCGGTTAATGGTGAAGCACAAAGGGCAAAAATACGCTCAGCCCACGACGTCATATTCCGCTACGTTAATATACATAATACGTTAATATGTCAAGCCAATATGGCAGCTGCGACGGATACCGACAAACTGCGAATCGAGAGAAGATCTTTGTTCAAGTTATGGGAAGATCGTTAAAATTATTGCTTGTTTTGCTATTATTAGGCCACTTTTACTCTGATCCCTCGCGATTTTGCGGACTATTTAATAGAGACACAAACAGATGTATTCATACACAGACGGACACACAAACGATGCTCACAGTGTCTAATGACGATCAGGTCAGTCAAGTGTCGGCTAGCAGAATTGTTCCACCGAGTAAAGGCGATGTATATACGTACATATGTTACGTGTAATGTCGTCAATCTATATCGATATCATTGTAGCAAAGAAATTCTAATATACCATTGTACAATAGCCTGCTACCGCTCGCTTTTGTGGCAGGGATAAATGATAAGCTGTGATATTTCTCACTGCATATAAATTTCTGCTGATAAACTTTGTTCACAATGCAGCATATAGGGAATAGAATTGAGCAGACAGCTGAATACGGCAAGCTCTTCTTGATGGGCTTTTTTTTTCCCCATAACAATGAACTGAATCGCATTTTATACTAAATGTTGGACCTGAGTGAGTATTTGTGGTCGAAAACTTAACGCACTATGTTTGCAGATGTTCGTCCTGTATAAAATACAACGAAACGTAAAGCTAGACGTAAAATTCTTGCATTACTTTGTATAGAGCCTTCATCACGTGCTGACGGCTATTTCGACTCTTCTGAGAGGCGTTGCTTGGGCATATTTGGACTTGCCTTGCGCCTACTGGCAACTCTGAATCGATAACAATTATATTTTGTATGTATTAGATGCTTTATATATATATATATATATATATATGTATATTTAGTCAGGCTGTGTATGGAGAGATGGTAACATGTTATTGATGTTAGATTTCCAGTCGGGGAAATGTCTCATTGAGGATCAAATCTGCTTTATACAGCTTTTGCAATGTTATGGAAATTATGTGGAGTTTCTATTAAGATGATATTAGTCTGCGGAACTTGTTCGGATATATTGTTCAGATCTGATGCTCTAAGATATTACAGGGCAGGAAAACAATAAGGGCAAACACACTAAGAATAGACATGACACTAATTCAACGGTCAGTTCAAGTTATTCGCTAATTACCTATTGGTCCACTTCAAAAAAGTCAGTCTGACCCATTTTGAGTGTAGCCAGCCTCTTTAATGCACATGTTTCCCTCAAAAAAAAACCCAATTGTAAGCACACTTCACTTCC